ACACAAAAGAAAAAAAAAAAAAAAAAATAGAAAAGCAAAAATTTTTTTTCTTAACTTTTGAAGTAAACGCCTTCTGTCGTTTCAATCGAATCACATTAAATTTAATACAAATTTTTTTTTAATAAAAAAAAGAAGCCACCATCAACATCATATTAGCATGGGATCTTTTTTATAAATTTTCTAAATTATTATTCGATAGCATATATTTAGGCGTTTTCCTTTATGATCTCTTTCCCATATTTTATTCATGAATTTTATGAAAATATATTCTTCTTCAATAATATTTAACAATATTTTAGTATATTATAAATTATGAGTATAATTATTATTTATTTCGAAGAAAATTGAAATTTAGCTACTAAATTCCAAATCTGGAACTTAGGGGAATAAGTACCTTATGAAGTTTGATGATTAAGAATGAGTCAAAGGCGAAATCCGGTTTTGTTTTTTAGATATTAGTGAGGGTAGGTAGTGTTTTTCCAATTCATTTTCGCTTGCGTCCAGCTAATAAACCAAGAATGAGGTAAATTTTTAAAAGGAATTGAAAAAATTTGTTCTTAACAATTAGTGTTGATAATTAAATTATTTCAGTACAAATATTTGCAAACAATAAGACAAAAAATTTTAAGTTCTTCTTCTCAAATTCCTTAAATTTAAATTTAATTTATTCTTGATCAATACCAAATATTTGAAATTAAGAGTTTTCACCACATTGTGCAGACCACAATGTTCAATATCACATTGAAAATATTTTCATAATTTTTTCTACAACAAAATATGTTTGACAGAAGATATGCTTTTAGTTAACAACTTTTATGTCAACTACTCTACATAAATTAAATTTAAGTATATAAGACATTCTTTAAGTGTAATAAATTTTAAATTAATAATGTCGGGGAAATTTATTTTATAATGTTATATTAAAACTATTATAATAAACGTACTCATTATAGCTATAATAATTTCAAAATTCATAATATTTATAATTTATAAGTAAAGACGATTTTTTTTGGATGTATTTCATTACCATTAGAAAGTCTACACAATACAATATAATAATAGATTGGGCTAATTAATTCCAATTTTAATTTTGTTTTTTGGGAATTTGTTTTTGAAATAATTTTACTTGGAAATTATGAAGAAAACAGGAGTTCAGTTTTTGTATATTAGCAAAATTGATAGCTAGAAACCATTTAATTCAAATACATAGATATATTGAAATACATACTTGAAAATATTTTGGGAGTAACATCAGCCTTAATTATAAAGTGCATAACTTAAAAGTTTCGTATTTTATTAGGAGGATTAATTTAAAAATAAATCAAAATGTTTTAAGGATATGGCAATACCATACATAATAAATATTTTATTTTACACACTTTAGTTTTCCACAAGGAATGCATAAAAAGAAAAGAGAAAAATTATTTTTTTTTTATTTCTTAATTTCCTTTTCATGTTTTATCCTTATTGTTTCCATATTTTTCCTCTGAAAAATTTTAAATTTTTTTTTCGTTTTGTTTCGCTTTAATTTTGTTATGCGTTTCCTTTCGTTTTTATTTCAACGTGTACGGTAAATGAATTTTCCGACCATAAACATTAATCTTTGTAATACTCTTTCATTTTTTTATTTTTTCAAAGTCCTTTCGTACATTTCCAAAATTTGGAAAATGAATGATGAAATTTTCGTTCTGTTTTATAATTTTGTAAAAAAAAAAAGAAAAATATTTTTAAAAGAAAATTTTTAAATATTACCCTGGAAAATTTTTAATGTCCTTTTAAAAAACATGCACAAAACAATAAAAGAAAAAGGACAGAAGATGAAAATATTTTATTTTTAATTGTCTATAGTCAACGACCTGTTTCAATTTTTTTTTTCCAAGTTCTTTTGTTCTTAACTTACTCCTTTTTTATTTTAAATTTTTTTTTTATTTTTTAATTTTTATTATAATTTCTTCAATAAAAAAAAAACTTGTCAAAATAGAAAAATTTGCCACCATTAAAATAATGAGATTTTTGTTTTTTTCTTGTTAAATTTTTATTGTCTCGAAGGGCTGCTATTGTGTACTTGTGTTGAATAAAATCTAAAATCAGAAATCTGGTAAGAGAAAGAATGAGTGAGAGGGGAATAGAAAATCCCAAAGAGAATACAAAAATAAAATTTTCCAAGAAATAGACCGCCGTATTTTCCATTTTTTATTTAAAATTTATGTTAGCATGTTTTATTTTATTAAAAGAATTAAAAGCTTAAAAAACTCGTAAATGTATGAATAATGAATGTTTAAATGTGTAAATTTAGATGAACATGCGTTTTATTCAAACATCAATTCATATTATTGAAGAAGAGAGCAACTTAAATGTTGTATAATAAAATAAAAATTAAATTCTATAAAAAAAACTTCAAATATCATTAAAAAATATTGTTAGAGAATGACATAAGACCAAATTTCATACTTGCCTTCACATTTTTTTACGTCACAAGAACATTTATTTGAAATCTGCTGAAAAATCATTCAACTCGGAGAGAGAAGAGTAGAAAGCTGTAAATGAGACTAAATTTGATATCGTATGTTTAAGTATTCACACTGGCATGAGAGTAGAGTACTGCTGAAACAGTATTTTCAAATTATTTTTTATGAAATATAAATATTGTATTTATTAAAATTAATTAATTAATTTCCAATAGAAATTATTATGTTTATTTAATTGAAAACAGCGCAAGTTCTTCTCTCTATTAAACTTCTTTTTTGTGTAAATTTTTATAATATTATTAAATTAAAATATTTAACTTAATTGTTATTGAAATAAAAATATAATTTCTTCATATTTGGGACTCTTTATTAAAATTTTGTATTCTCTTAATAAAAATTCGAAAATTATCATTTAAATTTTAATATTTATTCAACGAAATTCTTATAATTCTGTGTGTTAAATTCAAATTAACATGAAAAATTAAATATAACATTAAAATACAGTTAAACCTCTATAATTCGAAGTCACATGGGAAATCTGAAACAGTTCAAGTTATGTAGATTTCAAGTAAAAGAGAAAAAAAAAGCTATGCCAATGTTCAAGGAACTTATATGGTTTCGAAGTAAGGAGATTTTCGTGTTGTAGAGGTTCAAGTTGTGAAGGCCCCACTGTATTTCATGCAAAACTTTATTTTCTAATTGAAAATTTTCAATTATCGTATATAACAAATGTGAGAAATAAAAAATTTTTGTACATTTGCTAACGCTTTAAATTTATTGGAATCCACCCTCCTTTCAAAAAAATTCATTTAATTTTTGGAGATTTTAATATAAAAACCTTATTGATATAGATTCACTCCCATAGTCTCATTTATCCTGTACCCATACTTTTATTTTCTTTACAAATTAAGTTCACATTTTTTTTTTCTGTGTAATTTTTTACGATATTTTATGTTGAATTTTAAATAATAATATCCTCTGTTAAAGGGGATGTTTTTCAATAAAAACAAAAAAAAAATTTAATTTTTTCAAAAATTTTCACTCACATTATAGGTTTAGGAAAAAAAAAAATGATATTTACATAAAAATGTGTGTACGTTTAAAAAAGGATTCTTTGTAAAATAAAAAAAAAAATCGTTAACCATAAATTTTATTTGTGTACATAAGCAATTCTTTCTAAATACGCAAATAAATTTTATATAAAATTATGTACTTTTTTAAGGACCGCATGATTTTATGACGTGGCAGAAAAAAGAAGAAAAGAATCCTAAAAAAAAACGAAATTAGAAAATTCTAGGACAACATTTTTTTGTTGTTTTCTTTCTATATTGCTGTTGCTATTTTTTCTTTCTCTTTCTATTTTAGTGACTCTGTGTTATCTTCTTCGTCTTTTGTTTTTATATCAAAATTTTATTTCCAAAATAAAAAAAAAAAGAGAAAAATATCCTAATTTTTTACTTCGTTTTCTCCTCGTTTCTGTTTTAGTTGTGTTGTTGTTGAAACTTTCTTTCCATTCTTTATGGCTGTTTCTCTTCATATTTCAATACTACTGTTTTGTTTTTTTTTTGTTTTCGCCCACGCCCATTCCCTTTTCTTTACGATTATTTTATTCTCTAGATTTAAATTTCCTGTTATTTATCATTGATGTTTATCTCTGCATGATTTTTTTACTTTAAGGTCTTTTCCTAGGCTTTTATTACTTTTAAGGGGTGGCATAGAAATCTATCGTCTTTAAAATAAATATAAATATATATATGTATTGTAGGTGGATATGTAATATGTATAATATGTTTATTAGTTTCAGTCAAATTTTATCCTTGTCGTCATATATTTACGGTATAGTTGATAGATAAATAACTTCATTTTATATTTAATATCGCATAAAATAGTTATAGTGGAAAATATTTTAAGTATTGACCCCAAAGATATTTGTGCTAAAGATAGTAATGTACATATGTATGTTTGTATGTATTATGGATTTTTAGATAAAATATTGCTGTATAATGTTATTTATTAAAAAATAAATTTTATTGTTTATATTATGAATTGTTCATATGGTTTGTTTTTGTTGTGTCGTTCCTTTTGATGAAAAATGCTTATCAACCTTGGGGTTTGAATTATAAAATTTTTACTCATCATATAAAACTGTTATATGATGAGAAAGACTCGTAAAGTTATTTAAGTTTTATTAGAGTATGTAGATGTTGAGATAATGTTCTACACTTGTATCATTTCGCTTAAAAATACATCAAAAGTCAGGGGAGGGATAAGCCACCAGAATGAATTTTAAACATACTTTCTTAAGTCTGTATAAATATCATTGTTTATTAAAGTACGGTATTGTTTATTAATTTACAGTGCGTAAATTTAAATGCATTATTGTTAAATTTAAAAAATTTGGTACATAATTTCTGAATTAAATCAATATTTTTGAATATTTAGTACATAATGGTATACTAAAAACAAAAATATAAAAAAAAAATGTTTAAAACTTATAATTTAATAAAAATGTTTTTTTATTTTCTTTCGCAGGGAGCGGCGGGATATTGAATATCGCGAAATCGAACGTCACAAAGAAATGGATCGCGAACGTGAACGTCTTCATCATCATCAACAACAGCAGCAGCAACAACAACAACAACAACAACAACAGCAGCAGCAACAGCAACATCATAATCCGCATCAACATCAGCATCCGCATCAACAACAACAACAACAACATCAACAGCAGCAACATCATTCACAATCAAATCAACCACCACAATCACATCTTGGTGTTGCTGCAGCTGTTGCTGCTGCTGCTGCTGCACAACATCATCATCAACAACAATTACAACAACAACAACAGCAACATGCTGTTCAACAACATCATCATCAACAACAACAGCAACAACAACAACAACAGCAAAGACAAATTGATCCAGATCGGGAGAGTCGAGAAAAGGCTGAACAAGAAGTCGCTAAACACTTCGAAGAATCTCTAAAACGTGCTAAAAAGGTAAGTGTTTGTTTTTAATTTTTCTAATTTAAATTTTTCTCAGTATTTCTTTTTTTGTGTTATACGTTGATTTAGTTTATAAAGTGCTCGAATGAAAAATCTGTCACAATAGATTATTTTCAAATTTTGTCTTGAATAATAAAAGTGATGACCTCAATAAAATTTAAAATGAAAAAAAAAAAACAAAATCATTATCATAAAATTAGCAAATTTTTAAAAGCGCGTTTATGATAATTATCTTAGGTCTTATCGATCGTCTCATTTTAAATTCACTCTGAATTTTAAATAAGTTTTACTCAATGTTTTCTTTCAGAAATAAGGAAAATAAAAATAAATGTAAATTTTATATTTAAAAATAAAGAATACAATAAAATTCATTGGCCTGCCAGACGATTTAAATTTGATGATATAAAATTATGAATTCAATATTAAATTGTAAAATTTTGGATTTTAGTTTTACTTTACGTTATGCCAAACTAGAGTCCTGAATTTTTCTTGTTCATATTTATTAATTGCATTTCTTCTTGTTGAATATATTTTATTGCATTGCATTTCTCTCTGTTTATCTCACTTAATGTGCATTTTACCAATGATTTATATTTCCTAGCTCCTTAAGATATTTGGAAAGTACGTAATTTTCTTAGCAAATAAAGTGTTACATAATTTTTGAGTCAGAATTCTAAATGCATATTAAAATTGTCAGTATAATTAACTTACAGGAGTAATTTGTCTGAAATTGAAATGCTGATAAAGCAAACAAAGCAGCATAATTGACGTTCCTCCATTATATCAATGAAATTCTGACCATTTGATGTTACGTTTTCAAATAAATTTGAATATGTAGGTCATATCATAAACAATGTCAAATCATGACAATCATAAATTTTATAATGTTTCTAGCGTCTTTAATTTTATGGTCAAAAAATTCGAAATCAATTGAATATTTTATGTAAACAAATAAAATGTAAATATGGCTATTATTCCATGAATTTTTTTTTTCCTTCTTCACTCCTAGGAGGAGCGTAGGGCTAGTGCATGATATCTATCATTCCCTAGTTTCTATAGTTATAGAGAGTTAGCTAGGTAGGTGACTTCCATAAATTAGTTATTCTTAAAATTTAATTTAACTTAAGAAAATTATTAAAATTTTTCAATAAAAAATTTAAATTTAAAAAAAATTCATCTTTCCCCAAAATATACTCAAATTCTAAAAAATTAATAAAATTACAATTTTGGCAACTGAAAGTTATTTATTATTTTATGAATGAATGATCGATGTACAACCATATTTTATATAGACAAATATACATACAGGCACATAAACATTTGTGTTTATATAAAAAATTAATAATTTAGCAAAAAATATTTTATGTTGCAAAAACAACGTGATTTTTTTTTTAAGTGAATCATAAAAACCATAGTAGAGAGCTAGTACAGAAAAAAACCAAAGAGAACTATAAAATTTGTCCTGAGTTCAATTTTAAAATCAAGCAACAAATATTTTGCACTCTATTCAATGACAGCCTACTGCTACAACATCAAATATGTATATTTATGTACATACGTATGTTTAAATATATTCAGAGTTGGACAGAGTTAATCTTAAAATTTTTCAAATTCTTCTGGTCATGTCCGGCTTTGGCAAAAAGAAGGCGGAGGAGTCGTTTTTCTTTTTACGGAATTCGGATGTGGCGAATGTAAATACTAGGGGCCTTAGCCTGTTTCTGAAAAGCTCGGGATATCACAACGGGCCTTACTGGCATATGTGCTGCGTTAACATAATCTAACCTATTTAACGATTTTAGCGCTAAAATTTATCAAAATGAATTAAAAACTGCAATGTGGTTGTTCTTATAGTTCTTACATGCATATCCGCCCCTGTTACAGACATTTTGAAAAAAATTTAAACAAGTAATGAAAATGAAATAAGAAAAACACAAAATTACATAACAAGATTTTTGCTTCAACAATAAAACTGCACAATTTAGCAATTGAGAATTGTGCAATTTTCTTTTTTATTTATTTCTATTGAACAATTTGTGTACGTGTGTCTGTGTTCAACGTACATGCAATTTAAATTTTTCTTTTTTTATTTTTAAGAATTTTCTAGTGCGGTTACTTTCAGACTTGTTTAATTTTATTATTATGATTTTTTATTTAAAAAAAAGAAGAAGAAAAATCAGAAATAAATTTCGAATGCATTCGAAAAAGTGCATGCAATAGAAAAAAAATTGAATTGTTTATGACGAATGGCAGGTCTCAAAAGCTTTCAATTTTATTTTGAGTTTTCTTTTCTGATTCAATTCGTTAGTCGGTAATTTTTTTTATAAAATAAATTATATTTCAAGGCCCACTCTTTTGAAATTGGAAATAAAAGAGGAAAAAAAGTTGGGCATCAATTGAAAGTTTTTTTGTATAAAAAAAAAATTAAGTGTTTTTTTTTTTCTTAAATTGTTTAATTTAAAAACACTTAGTGATTTTTTTTTTTCATTTGCTTGAAAATATTTGTATTACTTTTAAATTAGCTTTGTAGTCTGTATGTACATACATATATGTATTTACATAAGCATAGGCAAAATTCATCGAACTCTTGATGTCATAAGTTTTTCCAATCAAACAATTGAGGATCAAGTATGGAAAAATAGTTTGCTGAGCAATTTTGGCAATAAGGCGCAGATATTTGTCTCTAAGGTTGTTTGCAAACTATCCCTAAAAGTATGCACTTTTTTTCTGAGATAACCATAATTTCTTACATTATACAACTACTTATACGCTTACAATAATTTCTTACATTGTACAAATTTTATACAACATACTTTACCCAACCCTGTCTCCGGTATTTGCTAGCTTGTCCAAAATTAAAATTGAAATTATTGCGGCATATTACTTGCGAAATTAAGCAATTAAAGTTTTGATTATTGTTGAAAAATTTAAAATTTTGCCGAATAAATCAAGTAGACATGCAAATTGCATTTTCATGGCCGCCTTTAATTCTTTCCTATCAAGGCATGTTTTTCATAAGATTTAAATCCAGGTTACTGAAAAAACATGAATAAAATTGGTGAATTTTTTTCATGTTAAATGCTAAATTTAATTTGAAGTTTCAAAAATTTGAAGTTTTTTTATGTCAAGTGCTAAATTTAAAAAAATTTTTTAAATTTATATAATATTCGCAGGATAAGAACGACGGCACGTATTTAAAAATTGACATATTCTAAATTCTATTACATTAATAGACACAAAACTTCTCTGGGATTAACTCCATTAAATTTGAACATATTCGCAGATTATTCAATATGAACTGCAAGATTTTACTCAAAGTGTTTTTATTCTTAAACTTATATATTTGCATAAAGCAAGTATAAATTCTTATACACAATTATATCGTTTTAAAAAACTAAATTTTCTTATTATAAAAATTAAAAAAAAAACCGAATACTTAATGTCATTGATCTTCTTCTGTATTATGTACTCAACTTTAATTAATTTAACATTTATCTTATGAACATATGCCAGTAAAATTCACAAATAAACGACACTATTCAAATAAAATATGTGTATGTACATTTTATACACTACTCGTATATGCGTCGTGTATCAAAAATATTTTAATTGAATTTAATAAATGAAATTATTTTTGGAAATCACGGAAAAGAAAAAAAAACTTCCAAAATGAACACAAAATTTTTTACAAGGTCAAAGTTTTTTTACTTGGTTAAACCTTCAGTACTTTTATACCCTTTAAATTAATAAAGAACAATTTCATTTGAGTAAATTTTTCCAAATAATTAAAATTAGAAATATGAAAGGAACCTTTTTTTTCCGCTTAATTTTAAATTTAACTTAGATTTCCATTTAAAAAAATAAGATTTGCTTCTAAAAAATAATCTCACTAATTTCTAAAAGAAAAATTTTTACTATATTTTATAATTTAACACGTGCCGCGCTCAACTTCAAAGATATTAGTAAAAATTAAAGATTATTAAAATTATAAAAATAGAATATAAAAAAAAAATATATAAGCAACATAACAGTGGAAATACTGGCACAATAATTAAACTCCAAAGAGTATTAGAAGTTCAAGACTTGAATCTTTATGAAATTATAAAATATGTTTATGTATGTGGACTTAAAATTGCCGTCTAAATTTTAAATATTTTTTGATATTTTAATTACACTTACAATTCTTAATAATTAATTTTAAATAACAGTAGAATAATCCAGAATACATTTATAATAATATTTTATTTTAGTTGTACTTGATATCGAAGATTTTATAGCATTTTGTGTAGAATTAATTTACAATTTGGAAGTTGTCTTTTTGGTGAATTTATTGTAGATTGCTTTTTGTTAATTAAATTTTGTCTAGTTAAAATAATAAAAAAAAAATATTGTCTAAATTTCAATTATTTTTTTTTTGTAGCCTATCTTATAAAATTCAGCAAACTTGATTCTAATTTAATTTTGTGAAACTCAAATTGCTATACAATATTTCTGTAATATTTTTATTGGTTTTATTAAGTTGTCAAATATAAATCAACTAAACTCTTCGAGAATTTTATAATAATTAAAAAATGCTCTTGTATATTTAAAAATATTTATTGTAACTTAATTTAATTTAATTATTTTTCTAAATTAAATACTTACATACATAAATTTTATTTTTTAATTTAATTTTAAATAAAACACATGGCAAATAACAAAATTATTTTTTTCTACAAGTTAAACAGCAATATATTTCAAATCATGTTGCTTCTAAAAAGTCACTTTAATTCTCTCATTACTGCGATAATATTTTAAAATTTAATATTAATGAAATTTCAACGCGCAACACTACATAATGTGTCTCAATTTTACTGTCATAATCATAACATAACATTCATTATAGTTGAAAAACATTAATTAAGATTATTTGAATAGACGACACTGCTGTGAATAAATAACATGAAACTTGAAAATCAACATAACTAAAAAATAAAAAAAAGAATGAAAATAAAAAC